TGCACATATAGCACGAGTTCATCAAAGGACTTGAAGTATCTCATGATTCTCTATTAGAAGGCTAAAGTATAACTTAGATGGTACATCTATAAATTAGATGAATTGTTAGCATGAAGTCATCCATGGAAAGTACTCATCGATGATTCCTTACTGAAGGTTTGATCTCAGGATTAATACATTTCAACATTTACATTAATGAGACGAAGTGGAGATGGAGAAATGCTTATCACATCTACAGGATGACACAAACTGGATAGGATACTTAATTATCTCGAAGACAGACATTTAAAATGATCTTAAAATGTTAGAGAAGTGGACTGGAAAAAATCAGAATAAAATTTAATACAGACAAATGTGAAGTTCTTCATTTAGGAAAAATTAATTAAACCTAGGGATACAGGACAGATAATAATTGGATGGAGATAATAGGTGTGAAAAGGACCTTGAAGTTGTAAATGGTTCACTACTTAAATATGAATCAGCAGTGTGATCTGGCTGGTAAAAGGAAAATGGGACTTTTTTTTTTTTTTTTTGCTACAACAACAGAATGTGAGTTTCCAAGTCACAGGATGACAATTCCACTATAAGTCTGCATTGGTCAGACCCCACTTCAAATACTATGCCCACTTACCCAGTTCTGCACAACATACTTTAAGAAGGATTTGGATCAAATAAAACAGGCTGAGAGAAAGATAATGGGGCTAAATAAGAGATTAGGTCTTACAAGAGAGATTGATGGAAAAAGTTAGCCGTAGAAAAAAAATCATTGAGAATATGAGAACATAATGCTGCACAGAAGATCAAGACTTATATTCTAGCATTCCCAGACTTCAGAACACAGAATATTAGGAAGTAGGGGTGGGATTCTATCAGTTAGGCTCAGTTTGGCCAAACCGGTAGCTCCGAAGATCATCTGGGAGTGAACCGGAAGATCAGCTGTTGGGGCCTCCCGCCTTCCCCAGCACCATACTGACCTTTATTTCCTGCTTTTGATGCTCAGCTGCATTGTGTGGCACAGCGGATTGCCACACGTCAGCTGCTAAGAGACAGGAAGAATGCAGGAGTGCAGGAGAAGGTCAAAGTGCGTTTGCCCCCCAAGCATTCAAAGTGCGCATGCGTGCACAACGCACACCCACCAAGCCACGCCCACCGAACCAGTGGTAAACCAATTTGCATCCCACCACTGGTAGGGAGGATTCCAAAGTGAATGTTTCAAAGTGAAAGACCCCCCCCTCCCAACAGTACAAGCACTTTCATATGATAATACAATCAATTATCTGTAGTGCTGATTGGCTCACCAATGTATGTATTGAAGGCTAGATAGCTATAAGGCTGACATCCCTGAATTGAGCACAGGTTTGGACACAAGCCATTAGGTCCAACTCTGTCATTCTGTGATTCCCTGAATTCTTCTGCAATCATGAATATGATTTTTTAGCGAGTCTATGCAATAATATTCAATGCAGTTTCAACAAAGAAAGGCAAATTTGGAATCTGGTTATAGTGTTTTAAGATAAATGGATACTGTCAAAGGAGAAAATAAAATATTAAAGCCTAAACAAGACTGTAGAAAATGAATTCCTGTAAGTATATTTTTGCATTAAAAAGGGAATGCTTTGTGGCCACATTAGTTTCTTGGCACTTCCCAAGAGGCTCCTTCTGTGGTATTTTATCTTCATTTAAACTGTTCTTTTCAAGATATCTATAAAATTTACTTTATTGAAGAGAAAGGATTTGACTGAATGCTTTAAAAAATGTAAAAAGGAAAGGGAAAATAAAGAGAAAAATATATGTTTTTCCCCCCAACAATTTTGGTGAAGATATTTTGCATAGGTGCTCTTTAAGTACACTAGTAAATGAGGCTGAGATTTAAAGTGTACACTTACTTTTAATCCCCTCTGGGGATATTCTTTTAACATCTGTTCCTGATCACTGCAAGTTTTGTATATTTTGGGTTGCAGTAAGTTAACTGGGAACAATAGTTTTATATGGTACTTTAATTCTTGTTAGCCACCTAGTCACTTTGGTACAAACGGTGGCCATATAGATGAATGGATGGATGCATGGATGCATGGACAGCTTAGCAACTAGATAGAAATAGTTTTAAAAGGCAAATGTTCACTAAGATGTCTTATCCCTCAAATATTTGTAACAGAGGAGAAACCCCCAGAAACGTTTATCTCCATACAAACAGTAGAAATAATTACAAATTAATTCTCCATTGTTTTGTCAACTTTTTACCAGATGTTAAACAAAGTTGCATGAAAGGATAAAATGAAACTGGTTCTCTATGAGAGCAATGAAATAATCTTCTGTCAATATATTTACACCTCTTATTTCCTCAACAATATTTCACAAATTTCATGTTGAATATAAAGGCTAAAAGGCAAAGAAGTCAATTCATGGCTAACCATGTTAAAGATGATTGGCTGGTTTCTGTTTTCAGTGTTGATGTAAGTAACCCATCAATTGCTTCTATTTACTAACAAATGATGTACACAAACAGGGTATCTATCTAATGGGCTAAAGTACTGCAGCTTTATGTTTTAGATAGCATGTACCAAGCAGAATGCTTGACTAGTGTTCCACAGTGTCATGTTCATTATAGACAGATGTACAGCTCCACATATACTGAACTCTGAAGGCCTCCCTAACTTAGAATCTTCTAAGACAGGGATGTCAAACTCGTATTGTCACGTTGTCATCACGTGATGTATTGTGACTTTTCTCCCCAAAATGGGGGTGGACCTGGCCAGTGGGTGACGCATCTGGCCCATGGGCCATGAGTTTGACACCCCTGCTCTAAGATCAGAGACTACAGATTTTATCATTTTATCCAGTAAGCATTGATCCCTGATTGCATCATTAAGATAACAGATCAAGGAAGATTGCCAATCACAAATTGTACAAAGCTGTTTGTGAAAAATAAACTGTCTTCCAGTTCATGTATGACATTGCTTTAATTCAAGATCGCTAGTATTGCAATACTTAATACATCTCACCTAAACTTAAGGAAATGGCCCAGTACTCTAATAAATGAGAAAGGGGGGTGGATAATCATAATAATTTAAATGAATAATTGTGCAGATTATCAAATGTAGAAATAGAGGAATTACTGAAATTTCAGCAAGTAAATCCCTAGTCTTAAATATTAGAGGCTCATATTTTAAAATTGTCAACATGTTTCTTTCTTTTAAAATAAGTGCAAGAATGTCACACTCCAACCTAAGAGCATTTCTCCAAAATCACCTTTCCCCTGAAATAACTTTTGAAAGCAAACACTCTTTGTCAATTTCAATAAGCCTCGGTAGAAGAATATACAGGATATTTTATTTTCTTGTTTTACTATGAATTTTATTTGACTATAAGCCTCTTTAGCTCTTACCAAGAACTAAGAAATGCTTAAAGATTTAATATAACATATCTGCAAGGCACGAGTCAATGGAATTTGCCAAATTTTATATTCAGCAATTCAATAACAGTACTCACCTTCAAATGTAACAATTAACAATTTTTTTATTGTGGTTACATTCACATATAACATCTAAGCATAATCTCACTCCCTTCTGTCTCTTTCCTTCCCAGTTGATTTGCAGGTAGAATAAAGGATTCATTTCTGCTAATGCCTTGATTTGACGTTTAACAGAATAGCAGAGTATTATGAAACCAAATCAAACAGCCAGATGGCATTAATATTTCTAGATGTCCAGAAGGCATTTAACAATTTAAACTGGCAATTTCTGATTGAGCAAATATCCAGTATGAAATTTGGTGAAAAATTTATAGGGCTAATTAAAACAATATACTCAATACAAAACGCAAAAATAGTAATCAATGGAGAAACCACGGATAATATAAAAATATGCAAAGGAGTGAGACAGGGATGTCCGCTTGCCCCATTACTATACATTCTATCAGCGGAAGTACTGTTAACGCAGATAAGGAAAAACTGAAACATTCAAGGGCTAACAATCAAACAGGAAACATAAAAACTGTAAGCGTTTGCTGATGACATGGTTTTTATACTAGAGGACCCAAAAGAATCAAGCAAAAACTTACTACAAGAAATAGAGGCATTTGGCAAAGTAGCAGGACTTAAAATTAATAAAGAGAAGACTAACAAAAAATTGTACTAAAAGGCAAAATGAGGAATTGACAAGAGAACTAGGGATTCAGACAACAAACAAAATAAAATATCTAGGAATTTGGCTCACAGCGAAGTGTTCTACAATAAAGGCTGATAGCTACGACAAATTAATAGATCAGATACAGAAAGACCTAGACAGATGGGCAAACCTACAAATCTCCTGGATGGGAAGGATAGCCACCATTAAAACCAATGTATTACCAAAATTGTTGTATCTCTTTCAAACCGTGCCAGTCAAACTGGAGAAATTTTTTTTCAAAGACCTGAATAGAAGAATTAGTAAATTTATTTGGCAAAAGAAAAAAGCAAGAGTAAAATATAAATTAATGCAGGATACTAAAAGCAAGGGAGGACTGTCCCTTCCAGACTTCGAGCTATATTACCAAGCTGCAGCGAGTACTTGGATTAAGGATTGGATTAACTTGGAGGACAAAAGAATATTGACAATGGAAGGTTTTGATTTACAGCTTGGCTGGCACGCGTTTCTTTGGGATGGGAAAAAAAGGAACCCATAGTTACTTTCAAAAACATTGGATAAGAGACGCTCTATTATATATGTGGGAGGCAATAAAAAACCCCATTATGTGAAAATATCTGGCTATCTCCAATGGAGGCATTAATATATCCTAATGCCATGGATCTGAATAAAACAATAAAATACAAAGAACTCATAACAGATGAAGGTGACCTGAAATCACAGATACAACTTAAAACACAAGGAACTGCAATTAGGTGGCGGCCGTACCTCCAAATTCAAACAAAACATAAAAAAGACAAGGAACAATTTGGATTTTACAACAAAGAACAGGAACTAGACAAAATATTACAAGGAAATGAAACAAAATGATTACTAAATTATACAATTGCTTATTGGAATTTAAAATGGAAGAGGAAACGGTTAAGGATAATATGATAATATGGGCTAAAAATTGCGGTCATAACATTCACTTAGAACAATGGGAACGAATATGGCAAACCAACTATAAATTAATGTTATCTGTATCATATAAAGAGAATATCTATAAAACGTTCTACTGCTGGCACCTTCCACCGGCAAGATTGGCAAAAATGTTTTCCAATATGTCACCTAAATGCTGGAAGTGCAATCATAGCCAAGGAACATATTTTCACATGTGGTGGAAATGCCCCAAAGCTCGAAAATACTGGTCTAAGATACAGGGATGGTTGGAAGAGATGACAAAATTAAAGATCAAACTCAATCCAGAGACCTTCTTATTGGGAATATCAGAACTGTCATGGAGTAAAAAACAACAGCATCTAATACTACACATAATCACAGCAGCAAGAATAGCCTTTGCCCAAAATTGGAAATTAACAATGGTACCCATAGATTTAGCAGTAATCAACAAAATTTACCAATGCGCAGAAATGATTAGATTAACTATGATATTAAAAAACAAGGAAGAGGGAGAATTTTTTACAACATGGAATACATGGTACAAATGGCTAAATGAAAAGGAAATAAAGATGTATAGTGAAAATGATTCAAGAAATATCATGGAACAACAGAAATAAGGATAAATGTATAGCTATGTATATATGTATAGTATAGCTATGTATATAGGTGTAGTAGTGTAGTAACATAGAAAAACAAACAATGTATCACGACATATTAATAACATAGATAAGAAATTAGTAATTAGATTTAAGATATTTTTGTAGTAAATTATTTCAATTAACACTAATAGAGATGTATACTGTTATGAAAACACTGTAAAATGTGAGAACGTGATTCTCTTTTTAAAATATTTTTTTCTTGAATAAAAACTTATTTTAAAAAAACAGAATAACAGAGTTGGAAGGAGCCTTGGAGGTCTTTTAGCCCTCCCTACTCAAACAGGAGACCCTACACCATTTCATAAAAATTGTTGTCCAATCTCTTCTTAAAAACCTCCAGTGTTGGAACATCCACAACTTCTGGAGGCAAGCAGTTCCACTGGTGAATTGTTCTAATGGTTGGGAAATTTCTCTGTAATTCTAGGTTGGTTCTTCCCTTGATTAATTTCCATCTAGTGCTTCTTGTCCTGCCTTCAGGTGCTTTGGAGAATAGCTTGTGTTATATTCTGGGCATGGGCGCAAGGAACGGAGACGAGGCAGTGAACAGTGAACTTCAACTCTTTATTAACGATCAGGAACAGAGCAAAAACCCTGGGCAGCAGCAGCTCTTTTATAGGGCTGGCTGCTGTCCCATTAACCAATGACTTACGTTAAAACGTTTAAATTGTACCCAATGAGAGACGTTCCGCTAATAGCCAATCAGGTTGCTCCGTAAGGACCAATCCCAGCTCGCTATCCACGGACCAATCAAAAGTGCAGGATTACGAGCCTGCTTTTCTATCAAGGTTGTCAAGCTTTATTAAAATACGTTTATGTTAGTTCATAACACCCCTCCCCCCTAGGTTCCGTTTGAGGGATGTGGTGATATAATCGCGTAGATATGCAGGTCGTTTCACCTGCCTGTTTGATTTTCGCTGTTCCACCGGTTTCTGTCTGCAGTCTGATTCTGGTGGAACGCTTCTAAGTTTTTCTGGTACGGGTGGTTCCGTTTCGGTGCGGGAGGACTCGGCGCGGCTGCCATTGTTGTTATCCCAGTCCCCAAGGGTTACTTCCGGGTTCCGTGGGCTTGCCTCCCTCGTGGTATTTCCCCGCGGCGAAGCTACCCCGCTTCCTGATTCTTCTTCAGTTGGCGCGCTTCTTTGGGTTGGTTGCTGGGTTTCCCTGATTACATCATTATCTATTTCGTTTTCGGTCCCCTCGATATCCCCTCCCCCCTCAGTTTGCGAATAAGGGGAGTCGCGGGAAATGGGTGGCAATCTGGAGCGAAGCTGATCTATATGGCGTTTCCAAACTCTCCCGTCATTAGTCTGTAGGCGGTAGGATCTGGGGCCGGTGGGTTGGGAATGGTTGCAGGGACCCACAATGGGTCGCCGGAGAAGTTCTTAGCAAACACCAAGTCGCCTACCTTGAATTCGCGGCACTTCCCGCTAGACCCGAAGGGTTTCTCTGGTGAATAAGAAGGATGTAGACGGTCGAGGTGGGAGCGAAGTTTCCGTCCCATTAACAGTTCGGCAGGCATTTTATTTGTGACGCTGTGTGGGGTGATGTGTTGAAGAAGCAGGATTCGGTTCAGCTTGTCGTCGATGTCTCCAGAATCCATTTTTTGTAGTGTTTTTTTTGACGAATTGGATCATTCGCTCCGCCCTTCCGTTGGCCGCAGGGTGTGCTGGCGAGGTTAGCGCATGGCGGATGCCCCGGTCTGCTAGGTACTGTTCAAATGCCAGGGCAGTGAACTGGGGCCCGTTATCAGAAACTAAAACGTCTGGTAACCCATGCGTTGCGAACAATTTGTTCAGTTTGTTAATGACTGACTCAGTTGTGGTTGTCTTCATTTTATGTATTTCTAGCCAGTTGGAATAGGCATCCACTGTTAGTAGAAAAGTGTGTCCTTTGGTGGGTCCCGCAAAATCAATGTGGATGCGGGACCACGGACCCCGAGGGGTTTCCCACTCGGTTGGCGTCGCTTTAGGTGGGGCGTTGCTGATGTCTTGGCACTTCCGACACATGTTTACCCAGGCTTCGATCTGTTTGTCGATGCCCGGCCACCACGCGTAGCTCTGTGCGAGCGCCTTCATGCACACAATGCCCGGATGTCCATCGTGCAGTACTTCTAAAACTGTCTGTTGTAGCCTCAATGGGACGACGACTCTATCTCCCCAGAGAATGCAGCCCTTCTGAGAGAAAAGTTCTGTCTGCCGGTTTTTGAACGGCGCGAAGTTGTCGTGGAGTTGGTCAAGTGGCCACCCTCGTTCGACCCAGCTGAGAACTTGTGCTAAGACAGGATCCCGTTTAGTCTCAATGGCGATGTCTCTCACCGTTAGCGGCGGCGAGTGTAGCGTTTCAATTTGGAGTGTCGTGAGGGTTGGAGCTGGGTCGTCGACGGCTTCCGGAAGTGGGGAACGGCTTAAAGCGTCAGCGTGGGGAATGGCTTTCCCCGGGCGATGTTGCAGTAGATAATTGTAGGCAGCTAGGAACTCTGACCAGCGAGTCATTCTTGGCGATAATATATAGGGGGTTGGTTTGTCTCCCATTATAATACCAAGCAATGGCTTGTGATCCGTAATTATAGTAAATGGTCGTCCATACACGTATTCATGAAAATGCTTTACAGATGATACAACAGCAAGAGCCTCTTTATCGAGTTGGCTATAGTTCCTTTCGGCCCTTGATAATGTACGTGAGAAAAACGCAATAGGTGCTTCATTTCCGTTTGGTAATACATGACTTAAAACTGCTCCTACTCCAAACGGTGAAGCGTCGCATGTAATAGTCAAAGGTAAAGTTTCGTTATACTGCATTAATACAGCGTTGGAGGTTAGTAAGTCTTTCACTTGTCGGAAAGCACGTTCCTCTCGATGTCCCCAGACCCAGGTTGCTCTTTTGTCGAGAAGTCTGTGTAGGGGCTCAGCTACGGTCGCCTTCTGGGGCAAGAAGATGTTGTAAAAGTTAATGAGCCCCAGAAAGGCTTGGAGGTCTGTTCTATTCTTAGGTGTTGGGGTGTTTTTTATTGCTTTTTGTTATCAGAGGGATGGATTCCTTGACTATCGAGAAGGTATCCAAGGAACTCCACCCTCTCAGTACACAGTTGACATTTATTTTTTTTAACCTTGAGGCCGGCGTCTTTGAATTTCTGGAAAACCATTCTGAGACGCCTTTCTAAAACTTCTCTATTCGGGGCGGCAATTAACACATCATCAAAATATGGCACGACTCCTTTTATGCCTTGTAAAAGTCTCTCCATCAGACTTTGAAAAATTCCTGGGGCTACGCTCACTCCGAATTGGAGTCTATTGCACTTAAAGGCGCCTCTGTGCGTAACGATAGTTTGTGCTTCCGCAGTTTCTGCATCTACGGGTAACTGTTGGTATGCCTGCGCTAAATCCAATTTTGCGAATATTTTCCCGCCACCCATGGAGTGGAGAAGATGTTGAACCACCGGCACCGGGTAAGCACTCTGCTGAAGTGCGTGGTTCAGGGTGGCCCGATAATCCCCACAAATTCTCAACGACCCATCCGGTTTTATGGGTGTTACTATTGGGGTTTCCCAACAGGTGTGGTCGGTTGGTTCTAAAACACCCTGGGCTATTAATTTATCGAGCTGCTCGTCGATCTTTGGTTTGAGTGCAAAAGGCACCCGACGAGGCTTAAGGCGAATGGGAGCTATTTCAGGATTAAGGCTAAACGATATTGGGGTCCCCTTGTACTTGCCTAGCTTTTCTGAAAAAACGTCCTGGAATTCTTGGATGAGAGACTCCTCCCAGTTGTCACTCTCGGCTCGGTGAACGCCGGCTACCTCGATCCCGAGCGGGGTGAACCACTGTAGGCCTAACAAACTAGGCCGGTCTCGATCGACGACGGTCAGCGGTAGTGATGCGGTACGATTTTTGAAGGAGACTTGGACTTGGATGGAGCTGATGACTGGAATTCTGTTGCCTTGGTAATCTTTGAGTATGATTCTTTGGGGGCTGAGATCCTGACGACGGATGGCCGGAATTAGTTGTTGGAGGGTCTTCCAGGATATCATTGAGAGAGACGACCCTGAGTCGACTTCCATTATGCAAGGTTGGTTCTCAATGGCGACCCTTACTCGGATCTTTCTCACATCTAGGGATGATGCGTGACCGATGGTAATAGTCTGGTGTGTTTCTTCCCGTCTAGTTGAGGTGGCAAGTGCTTTATTTCTGTAGTAGTGGTTGTTCCATTGGTGGTTCTGGCGATCTCGGCTCACAGGAGGATTTCCTGTAGACTGGCGGTAGTTATTTTCCTTCTGAATTGGGCTGGAACCTTGCTTGCTTCTAGAGACCTTTGCGATGTGGCCTCTCTTTCCACAGGAACGGCAGAGTGCGTTGAGGAATTTGCAATCAGATCGTGGGTGGTTTGCCCCACAACCCGCGCATTGACGCGGGAATCATTGGTTTCGTTGGTCTCGTTCTGACCGGAGTTGGTTGACCTCTTCCTCATCACTTTCTAGGTCCTCATGGTGCGCCGTTGTTGAGTGCCTCTCTGGACGAGGCGAAGTATCATTTGCGAGTTGACGGAGCGGTGCGTTGGTGTGGCGCATTCGAGCGGCCGACTTCCTGGTTGCTTCTGCTGCAGTAGCGTCTGCGATGGCGTCTGCAAGATCAATGTCCCCTTTGGCCATGATCTTGCTCTGCGTTGTGTGGTCATCTAATCTCAGAACTATGCGGTCTCGTAAGGCTTCCTCGAGGTTTGAAAACCCACAGAGGCCACCCAAGTTCCGGAGGTCAGCGATGAAGTCTGCAAGGCTTTCACTTTTCCGTTGGTCCCTCTGGTAAAACTCGTGTCTCCGGACAAGTGTTGGCACTGCGGGTGCATAGTGGGCCCATAGAAGGGGCGCGAGGGTGTCCCAATCCATCGTTTTCACCTCAGCCAGTTTTGCGAGTGCTTTCGCCATCTTAAAGGCGGCAGGCCCGCAATGGGTCAGGAACACTGCTCGTTTTTTGCCGGTCGTAGCGTCCTTTAAGTTGTTGGTCTCCAGAAACATCTGGAACCTGTCCATATACGAGTCCCAGTCTTCGTTAGCCGGATCAAATGGAGCGGGTGGTATGGCACCGCTGGACATCTTGCCGTTGTAGGTGCTCCTTCAGCCACGTGCTCTGTTTGTTGCTCTGTAAGTGTTCAGTCAGCTCTGATGTCTCCGCATCCCATCCTCGTCGCCAGTGTTATATTCTGGGCATGGGCGCAAGGAACGGAGACGAGGCAGTGAACAGTGAACTTCAACTCTTTATTAACGATCAGGAACAGAGCAAAAACCCTGGGCAGCAGCAGCTCTTTTATAGGGCTGGCTGCTGTCCCATTAACCAATGACTTACGTTAAAACGTTTAAATTGTACCCAATGAGAGACGTTCCGCTAATAGCCAATCAGGTTGCTCCGTAAGGACCAATCTCAGCTCGCTATCCACGGACCAATCAAAAGTGCAGGATTACGAGCCTGCTTTTCTATCAAGGTTGTCAAGCTTTATTAAAATACGTTTATGTTAGTTCATAACAGCTTGACTACTTCTTCTTTGTGGCAGCCCCTTAGATGTTGGAACATTGTTATCAAGTCCTTCTTTTTGATCAACTAGACATACTCAATTCCTGCATATCCTACTTTATATATAGTGGGAACTACAATCAACAATAAACTATTTGAAAACAAATTTGGATTGATATTGGTTTCTTCAGTAGCTAATGAGGTATTCTCTTAAACAATTGTTCTTGGCTTGCATATTATACCAGTCAGAAATCTTCTTGTCAGTTTCTGATTTGTTGTTTGTTCTGGTCATATGGATGAAAGGTTGTGATTATACCAAAGCTTACCATGGACTGTTTTCTGTTCATTCATGCAATGCTAATCCACGCAACATGCAAATGCAGCCAACATAATTCTTACTAAAGGTTCACAGAGCCAGAGCCAAAAGTAATTCTATTTTGAAATTGTGGTACATTCTGCATAACTGGTTAATTTGCTATTTCCTATAATTGGAATACATACATTTGGTTTTCAAAGCTAGTTCATTCCAACGAATACTATAACATTTGTGAACATTTTTCACACTAGAAAATATTTTACCATTGCACAACAAGGAAGCAATGTTACAAGTAGGAGAGTTAAGAAAGTATTTTACTTTGCTTGCAAAGCCAGGGCTCAACTGCGCCTGAGCTTGTAAATAAGAACACTAGGAATACTGTCTAACAGGCTGAAGAATATATTATTGAACAATGAAGGAGATCTTACCATCCAGAAATTTTAAAAAAGAAAGCAGATAAGTGATTTTTGAGGGGTTGATTCTACCTACCCTCATTATCATCCTCCAGATTCTCAGGCAGTTTGGTTTTGCATTTCACGGGTGAAGGAGAGTGAGTTTTCTTCTCAGCTCCCTCTGCAAGTGCAAAAAAGGTCAGAAAGAGATGTTCATTCTCAAAAGCTGAGGTTATAATGCTCGAAGTTGGATAATGATGAACATTATTACAATTATGAAATAGGAATGTGTAAGGTATTGGAAAAATAAATTGACTGCACCTCCATTTTGCTCTGGGAGAAAAATCACTATACTTTCAAGCTTTGTGGAGATTGATTTTTGCCTCCTGTGCTATTATCACAGTTAGGAAGAGCCCAAGGCTGAACCAGAATGCCATATTTCAAAAGATATTAAACTGCACATATCAATAATTATATTCTCTCTTACTTTTAATCTACATTATACCTATACCATTGGATTATTATATGTATTTTACAGTAATTACTTTATCAAGTATGGACTTCACTTGCTAAGCACTGTGAAACACATTCTGTCCTAACAGTATAATAGTACCGTCTGAATGCACAGAGTTTCAAAAACTTCAGCAGCTTCTAGATGAGGGACAGTGACCTCAGTCTGGAGTATCGAATCAGTGTATGGGCTATAGTCTAACTATGCCTGAGTTTTAGTAAAACATTGATAAGAATAAAAGAAAACATTATTTTCTCAGCTGACAGTGAGAAATCAATCATCTTGGGCAGATTTGTAACTCATCAGAATTGAGTTATGTCAAACTGTTATGTTGAGTTATGTCAAACTGTTAATTGAGTTATGTCAAACTAGAATAAAAGTGAAGATAATAAATATACTGTATAACTATTATAATAGATTAATGAACAATTAACAGAAGATACACACCTGACTCTGATAGTACAAAATCTAGATAGATAGATTGATAGATAGATTGACAGATAGATAGATGATACATAGATAGATAGACAGACAGACTGACAGACAGACAGAAAGATGGATGGATGATTACAGCAAACCTAAAAAATGATGATTAAGATTCATGTTCTAGAAAAATGAAACATATATTATCCCTGTTACTTAAAATGTAGATAATATAAAATAATATCATGCTAGAGAATTCAATGCAATGTGTTGTAACCCCAAATGACTGTGATAAGATTAATGTTCAAATAAATATGCATAGGATTATGCATTGGATTAAGAGAGAACAAAAAAAAAAGGGTTAAGAGAGACAGAAATGGAGATGGAGATGGAGATGTAGAGAGCTGAAGAAAGATGGAGAGACAGAGAAAGGGAACACAGGTGGAAGAAAACCATAGGAGCCTCATAGTTAGTGGTTTTGCAAAATGCTGGCCTTATTAATATGTAACAAAAGAAATGATAGAATATATGGAATCATCCTATGAGGTTACAAGTTGTTTCAGAAATTAAAAATATACCCAGTGCAGTCATATATATTTCATATATAATACTGTATTAATAGATGCTTCCCAAATTTCTAACTTCAATACAGAGTGCACTTCATAAATAAACAAATTAAAGTAATCAAATTAAGGGAACTTTAATTCCAGAGTAACTCAATCCTCAATTAGGACTGATCTTACAGCAGTAGGTGCTTATTTTATGCATTTAGACTTAGAGTCTTTGGCACAGCCTGGTCCTCATATTAAGCAGTCAGAAACTTGGCATCTCCTCTCTTTGGTGTTTTTTTTTTTTTTAAGGGAATGGTCTTTATTCTTGGGTTTATGGATCCAAAGTGGGAGAATGGAAAAAAGGAAATTTGTCTTCCCTATGAAATTCAACCAGGAAACTGGGCCAACTCAAGAAAGGATAAAGCCACAGTGGTAATGATGACCAAAGGAAGGTATGGCTTCATTGATAAGTGCTTTGATTGTTCACATTTAGATTATTGCTATAAGTTTTCTGGCAGCTTTCCCAGTTCCTCTTTTCTGCACCTCCTGTGTTATTCCCAACTTTTGCTGACATGCATACAAAGGAGTACAATACAAAAGACTTTACTCAGGTTGAGCACCAATAGACAGGGCATCGATGCAGATGCACACACAGTCTCAAGCAGTCCTGCATTCCTTGGCAAACTTACAGGCAAATTCCTAATAAGCAAAGTTCAAAGCATCAGACAGAAGTGTTGCTAGGGTAGTGTAGTAGCATCATTGTTAGATCATTGGTGGGTCTGGGTTTAAAATAATAGTTTCCATGAATAGCAGTTCTGGTAATTGCAGCAGATTTTCCCAACGAGGGATTACTTGCTAGCAAACAGGGCCTCTCTCAGATGCAAGAAATAAACCAATAGGAACCCATTTGCCTTGCAAGGAGCTACACAGACCTTTGCTCAGCCCTAGGTGTCTTGGGAATGAAAGGATCAGACCCCTGTATCAGACCACTTATCTTCTGCTGTTTCCAGCTGCTCCTCAGGCTCTGCAGTCACATCAGTCTCTCCTTGCTGATCTCCCATGTAGACACAGGGTTCTCTGAAGTGACATCCTCCTTGAAGATTCCTCAGAGTCAGAGCTGGCTCTGACACTGGCTTCCTGTTTGAATCAGAGCTCATTTCAACGACCTAGTTGTGTTCAGAGCCAACCAATCACAACCCCACCAGTATCCACTCTTGTTTCTTCTTACAGTCCTGAGGGTTCTTTTCATTCCTCTGAGCAGTGTCTTCTTTCAATTCTCAGGCTGCTGGAGACTTCTTCCTGTACTTTGGAATTGACTCTTTCCTTCCATTGCCCTCTCTGAACATTTGACTAGTGCTTTTTCTTATTTTGACTAGAGGGTTAATATGGCGCCTGATTTTTGACCAGTTGTTAATGTAGGGCCCGATGAGTTGTGAGGCCAGAATATTATACCATCCTTTCATTACACTTGATATTTTTATAGTTTATATAATTAATTATAGATAAATTACTAGTATTCATTAATGTAGGCATTCATTATAGATGTATGTGCACTTTTCAGTGTTGTTGTACGGCATTCCTTTAAAACTGAAAGTTGGTTTTATGGATTGGTTGTAAAACTAATTTAGCTGGATGGAAATTTGTAGCAATTGTTCTTTGTTCTTTATCTATATTGTGCCTTAACTACTAATTAATAATAACTTAGTATCCTATAACTTTTAAAAAATATATCAAACATAGATTTTGTAGTTTTGTGTAGGTTTGATTGTAACACTTCATTTCAATAATAATGAACAGGTCATTAATACACAGACACACACATACACACAGAACACACACACACACAAACACACACACACACACACACACACACACACACACAGCAAAATGGCAAATATTTTCCCTTATTTATGTTGCAGTTTCTGGAAAAATACTTTTGATTTTTATTTATAACTGGGACAAGATAGAGTTTTTTCCAAACAAAATGTTTAATACTCATATTGCTGTAAACTAAAGATATAAAAATTTACTCAGAACCACGTAAAGAAATTCAGGGCAGATTAATACCGAAGTCTTACAATGATTTAAATCTGAAACTATGCATTTTTACAGCAAGCCAGTATGAGGTTACAGTCTGAGATATACTGTACTTTCTTGAGAACAAGCCTCACTGATATCCAAAGGACATGTTTTTGAACACATATGCATAATATTGCACTGCAATATGAGATTATCTGCTGTATCATTATTTATTTTTAAATAGTCAAACAAAAAGGCACAAACTCTGCATGTCCAGTTTCTGTTAAATCACATCATGTAGAATAGAGAAAATCTTACAAGGTGCATAATGTACAAAATCTTACTCTTCTAACAATGCAGCATGGCATAACCAGACAGAATATCCTTTAGATACCAAATTATTAAAGCCAATAGCTAGTTTTAACTTCATCTGCCTGTTGGTGTAAGCCAGATCAGCAAGATTCCATAAAAATTATACAATTGGAGACCATCACAATATATGCTTACAGCAGCTAGAAAACAAAAGACATAAAAAATAAATAAATACTACAGTTCTGATCCATTTAATTCAGTGGGAAATGTGTCACTGATATCCACAAAATTGGAGTTTTATTCAAGATTTACAATAATTGACTTTACTATACATAAATAGTGAAAATAACATATAACTATTATTTTACAATACTTTGCTCTTCATCCAACTAATTTTAACAACTTTCTGAACCCAGTGGCTGCTCTTGCAAATGGATTTATGATTATCATAAATGTCCTGCTGTTCATTTTAGGGAGGAAAATCTGGATGTTCAGACCATGTAGGTATAGTTTATGAAGGTAGTAAGATATGCGTCTTCCTGGGTGGCACAGAAAAGTAAAACAGAAGGCATTTATCACAATGCCTGTATGTGTTAATTCTGCCTTAGTATTCTTTCCTAACTATTTCAAGAGCTTCATAAAAATCTAACAAAGATATTTCCTCTTCAACTTACTCACTCATTGACTTCAAACAGCTCTGAATTCTGTCCTACGTGGGAATCTGAAATTTCTTCATAGCATCACAGATGTCTTTTAATTGGAACACTGCCATCTATTTGAAAGGTAGTTGCTTGAAAAATGGCCTAGAAATATGTACTTCTGGAACATCATATTTAGAGGCTATTAGGGAAAGATGAGTAGGGACTGCAGGAGAGCCGAGACAATAATTCATGAAGATGGACTATAACTACAGCTTCCATCTGCTAATGTCATGACCCACAAATGAAATTAACTGGAAGTGCATAAATGATAGGAAGTGGCTAATTGCAGTCACAACCTTAACTATTACTCCCTTGTCCCTTCAAAGACTAAGCAGAGAAGGTGCTCTTCCAAACTGAAGAACAGGGTGGCATTCAATACAGAACTCCTCTGTATTGAATTACAGAGTATATCATAGGTACATTACCTTTGGCAGTGCTATGATTAATAGTGAATCAAATTTCCCCAAATCTCATTCCAAAATACTTTATGCAAATTCATCATTTCTCAGAAAAGAGATATTATATTAATTATGTTGCTCCATTTTTACTAAGTTCGATCCATCTTCTTTTCTGCTGGTGAGAACATTCTCTTGAGTGGACATGGATACAGAGCACTCCCATTGAGGTATAGAGCAAAAGGGGGAGGGGGAGCAACTTTTGCCAGTTTTCACTTCATGCCCCAGTTCTCAGTGCTGACTCCATCCCTCGTCTTGTCCCCTCCCTCCCTTGGACCTATCAACTTTGCAGGAGAGGAATATCCTATACCAGTGTTTCTCAGTCTTTCCACCATCCCGATATATGAATTCAACTCCCAGAAGTCCCCAGCCACCATTGGTTGTTGTTGTTTTTGCTAAGGATTCTAGAAATTGAAGTCTACACATCTGAAAGTTCTCAAAGTTAGGAAAAACTCATCTATATGCATTAATCGTGGATTTGAGGTGTTAAAAATCTGATCTGTTTGAAGGGTGGCTTTCAGGTTTTTTGAGGTTTCAGTAGTTTTGATTTAATTAAAGTAATACTAATTTGAAGATAGTAATGCTAAGGTGAATAATACATAGGCATATTTGCTCTAGACTTGTAATATTGGGGAATAATTATAGGGATAAATATGCTATTTATATGCATGCACTGGAATGAATACATTTGCAAAAGGTTTCAAAAGAGCAAACCACAAGGAACTCTGGATGGCTGTTGAAAAGTATTATCGGTATGTGGCACATGCTTTAAATTAAGAAGGATGAACTGAAGTTGGGCTTTGAAGGGCTATCTGGGTAGGCACACATACATGTTCAAAATATTTAAAGAAAGGGAAGTCCACGTGGCTGTCAAAAATATTCCCTCCAATTTATATTTATTTTGAGAGGTTATACCAAGAGCCCTTATCAGTCATCATGTACGCACAACACGAGACAGGGTCAGGAAAGCAAGACTTCAGTGACTTTTATACTAACCTGGAGTAAATTTAGAATCATGGAAATCGTAAGAGGATTTTTCCAGTTTCATTCATAGAGAGTTATTTCAGATGAAGTTTCTTTGAATGATCCGAAACATTTCTTCCAAGTTGCTCACCGCCTTGCCAGATAGTATGTATGAGATAAGCTATTTGGTTGCCTAGTATATCTCAATTGTTTATGTCAACTTCGTTATTCAACACTTTCTCATTCTCTAAACAGTCCCTCACAAAATTATCCATACCCTACCCTAGCACAGCCTTGACTCTTCCATGAAGGAGGCAGGGAGGGAGAGACAGAGAGAGACATAGGGGGAAAAAAACCCTCTTCCAGTTGTCAAACCAGTCCTGGATACCATCACCAGGAGGCACAATACACCAGAGTTCAGTCCCTTCCTTACAGCGCTTCCTGTTTAGGTGCTCAGGTGCTCATTTAACCTCTTTTCAAAGTTTATTCTTAAAAGATTATGAACTCCTTCCAACAGGTGCCTTATGTCTGGTCGCTCCAGCTTAGAGAGTGTCTGATGTCACCGTGAGTGATGACATGCCTGTGGCAAGCCTTGACCCTTGGCTAATAGAAGGAGAACAGATGCCGAGCCAAACATTCCGGTCTAATGGGTTCATTTTGCATGGACTTGTAGTCTAGCCTAATTGGAAGTAGTGGGATTTCAAAGGCCGAAAGTGCAGTGGAAACATGAGTGTCTTCTGTTGACATACTGAAATGGTTAAACTCTTTCTTTTTAAATTTGTAACTTGAACTTTAAGCCAAAAGCCGGTCACTGTTCCTCATCTGTAGAATTTACTTAGCATGCGATTTGATTTATCCACTGTATACATTGCGTATATGCAGAGAAGTCCATAAGAGATGCGATCAGGATAAAGGCTTTTACTGGATTTTTGAAAAGAAAATATCAAGTAGGAGTGCAAAGATAAATATTTAATTTAGGCAATTTGTTGTACACAGTCACACACACCTGCCCCCATATTTCTGTATGTGGACCTAACCAGCAGCCGGTACTTAGAAAAAGGAAAAAAGAAGCCTGAATCTGCCTATGAAATCATGTAGATGAAAATCTATTGATAGAAGTAAACATTAAGCCATTATTTATTTTCATTTTCTGCAGTGTATGTGTCAATAATATGAAGGATGGTAAGCATACAAATAGCATTATTTATGAAAATTATAAATGATGCATTTATTTAGTAGTTTAAGGTAAGACTAACCATACAGGTCTCTACACCTTTTTCATAACACCATTACTGTCATGAAAAAGCAACAAATCACTAGTTTTTCCATTTATTTTTTATTTTATTTTTGATGACAGAAGGACGGATTTTAATGGCCAGGACCTTCAGGATATCATTCATTCAGCTATGTGTTACATACCCTATTCTAAGTAGGTCTGATTTTATAGCAAAACAATGAAGCAGATTAGTAACAATAACATCAAAGACCATCAATAAAACAACCCTGCCCAACATGAAAAATAAAATATATTTTGCATTCTCTCTAAGGAGCCAGTGGAGAGCCTTCAGAGTATGACCCTTGAAATTCTTTTTAACCCCTTTATCAATAAAGACCATGGACACTATCTATATAAGAAGTTATGTGTCTACATTATATATTGTATATTTTCTTCCCAGAGACTAATCAAGGTGTGTATGTATATATGTTGCCAAGTATGTGCATGTTTACATATGTGTTACATTCTTATTTGAGTGGTGGGTAGATATCTGTTGCTGTTGTATGTGAGAAATTTTAATCAGATAAGTATATATATATATGCATTTCTTCTGTATATGCATGTTGGCATGGGTGGGATTCTCCTGGTTTGTACTGGTTCAGGTGAACCCTTTGTTCCAACGATCAGCTGGCTCCGAACTGATTTGCTGTGATGAGCATGTGGGCCCACCTGCCCGCCCCTGCTCCTTCCTGTGCTTTATGTCTTTTTGTTAGAGCACAACTGATTTGCGGGGCAGAGCAGTTTGCCGCGCCTCAGCTGTTTTCTTCAGCTGCAGTCAGGGTGGGATTCTATCAGTTTACATCTATTTGCTAGAACCGGTTGTTAGCATTCTAAGCAGTTCGGAGAACCAGTTGTTAGAAGAAACTACTGGCCTAATCCTGTAAGGAAGGCAGGAAGGAAACATTCTGGTGTTGCTTACAGAAACTGCCTCTCCGTTAACCCTTATTACATTCTTGGCAGGACTAGACTTCCTGTCTCAGGAACCTCTCTGGTGTTTTTTTCCCCTCCTTTGCTGCTACTTTGCTTGTGTGGAGTGACCATTCAAAGTTACAATGGCACTGAAAAAAGTGACTTATGACCATTTTTCACACTTACGACTGTTGCAGCATCCCCACAGTCATGAGAGGCCAGGCAAGGAGATGTGTGCCTCGATGTGAGTGATATTGAGTTGGCCACACCCAGCCAATAACATGACCACCAAGCATGTCCACCCAGTCACATGACCACCAAGCCACGCCCACCACCTAAGCCACGTCCATAGCACCGGTTGTTAAAAAATTTGAATCCCACCCCTGGCTGCAGTTAAAAGTAAGTATTAGCTTTTTAAAATGCGGAGAGCGCACTTACTGAAACGGTTGTCATATCGGTTGAATCACACCCCTGCATGTTGGTCAGGGTTTATCATAGTGAGTACATACACATACACACACACACATACACACCTGCACTATGTTCCCAGAGCTAATCAGAGTGTGTGAAGACCTGCTTCCTGTTTATGTGCAATGTATATTTATTTGTAGCCCGCCTTTATTATATTTACAAACAACTCAAGGCAATAAACATATCCAACACACCTTCCTCCTCCTATTTTCCCCACAGCAGTAATCCTGTGAGGTAAGCATATGTATATGGGATATATACTGTAAATCAGGCATGTTTACCTATTTATAGTTTATTTGTTATACAGGATTATAAACGGCTTCACTCATGATTCTAAGTGACATATATTCCCTGTCAGTAACAAAGATTAAAAGAGAAAACAGCAATCAACAACATTATGGCAACTCGAGAGCTTGGACTGAGGCCAAATGATTTAATTAGGACATCATCTCTGTGCATGTGTATATGTGTGCTGCTGGCTGGAGGGGGGGGGCGCATATGCTCCATTTTGACACCTGAGGAGGATGGAGGAGGGAAGCCATTGGCAATAATCTATATTGTTACCCAACTGCCCTTTTATACGGATCCATTGAGATTTCCCCTACAGCTCCCAGTTGACCTGGGCCATTTTAAAACATGAATCTGCCTTTTCCATTCCCATTTTTTCCTCCTGCCCCAAATTTGGTCCTGCTCTGTTCAGGGTTTGGAGTTATTCTGCAAACACAGAATAGAAAGACCCTTTCTTTGCACAATTTCTTTCCAACATTCCATAGGGCTGGAAAGAATGAAAGGGAGATCCCACAAGATGTTTACAAGAAAAGTCAATCCTCCTTTAATATGCAACATTATGAGCATATATATTCCCTGAGTAATTTTGATGTAATGTTTGGCACTTGTACAGTGGCACTCTTTATAAAAATTGAAAAATTATAGTAAAATGAGTTCCCAGTGACAGCTTCTTAAGGAGCCACGTTTTTGTACATTCTTCTTATATATCCTCTCATGGCTACACACTGAAAAGTAACTCATTCCAATATAACTTTCCCATAATTCTGCCTATAGTGTTACAATAAAAAGTCATTGTGTGAACAGAGTCGTGTTCTGGTTTTCATCTAATTTTTCCATTTCCAGAAGTAGGAATGGGGTGGGGGGGGGGGGGGGGAATCTCCTGAGAAATCACCTGTGCTGAAAAAGAGCATATTTTCTGATTTTTTTTTTTTTTAAAATATGTCCTTGAAAATCTGGAGCCTGAAAGGAAACCATATTATCCAAGAAAAGGCTAAAATCTGTTTATATCATCATATGTCTGAATGTGCCTCACATACTCTTAAGCAAGATGTGAAAAATTAGATTTAGTAGAAATATGTTTGGATGGATGGACTGACATTTTAGCCAGCTGAATGGGTAGAAGTTTCCAAATGGGAACAAAGCAGAGAGTCCTAGAGAGTCCTGCTTCCCCTTATCTCCGTAAGCTGGAGATATGAAGGAGAGATATACACATAGGTGGCTTGAATTCAAATAAAGCAAGGTTCAAAATCACACAGAACTTTCTAATATTCAGATAAATCAGTTTCTATTTAATCTTCCAGTTGAATGTGTGGAGGTCAAAGGCAGAAAGGTCAATGGATATTCCATTCTCTTTCGGGTTGGATGCCTCTTTGGAATGAGTTAAATGCTTTCATTCACACACATAAACTAACCCACACATACCCGGTTTCATTCATTTCAGCATTTTCCTGATTTTCCTAATTTAGCTAAAGCAGTTGAGAGGGATGATTAAAAATACATATAATTTTTTTGATATACTGATGATTAGGCTAAAATCCTATACATATGGAGCACAAATTATTCTCCTGCCCTCACCTCACCCCCTGCTCCCAAGATGAAAAAACATAACTCCAGTGTCTCCAGAATGGGAATGCTCACTGATACTTTAGATCAAGTTAATTTATTGGTTGTTGACCTTCTTTTCTCTCTTTCATTCAAAACATAACTGAACAAGTGATTACCCCATTCCACCTTGTCATAGTGTCTGTTTTTTTTGGGCATGTTATATCTCAGCTGCAAAAATCTAATTCTTTGCTTCATCAAGTTTTATTTTGTATCTAATAAATACTGCAAGTGTTCTACACTTGTATTCTCCATTTTCCTGCTGTATTTATTATGGCCTTGCACTTAGACATTTCTGCGAAGAGCCGTGGGGGCACAGTGGTTAGAATGCAGTACTGCATGCTAATTCTGCTGTCTGTTGACTGCCAGCAGTTCAGCAGTTCAAGTCTCACCAACTCAAGATTGACTCAGCCTTCCATCCTTCCGAGGTCGGTAAAATGAGGACCCAGATTGTTGTGGGCAATATGCTGATTCTGTAAACTGCTTAGAGACAGCTGTAAAGCACTGTGAAGCAGTAATAAGGAATAAATCTAAGTGCTATTGTTATTGCTATTCTGGGCTCCAAAAAGCTGGAGGATCACTAGACATGGCAACACAGAGATACAATCCTCTGCTCCACCTTGTTACTGCCTAATCTAGTGGTCCTGATTTTTCAAGAGTAGTTATGGTGGTCCTATCCCACATGATTGGGTTTGTTGAAGGCACAAGCCTGATCATGGCCACGGAGTGGGCAACAAAGGGGAGACGGTTGGGTCCCCAGTGCAGGCAGGACTCAAAATGTCCGCCTTTCCTGTCTTCACTATATTTAGTCTACCGTCAGGATGCAAAATGACTTCAGCCAGAAAGGGATCATCTTCTCCAGTCTCTCTCCCTTAAATAGTTTTCATGCAGTGTTCCCTCTTTGATCTAGCTGAACTGCCTCAAAGGACACAGCCTCCCAACAACCCTTAGAAAACCTGAACAAGAAAATAAAACACTGTAGATGAAACCAGGCATTACAAATATGAGACACAGATGACTCATAAGGCTAAAATCATTTGGGATATCTAATATATTAGACTACCAAGGCTTTTTAGGTTACCAGGAGTATATTACAAATGGTTTCTGAAATGTTTCAATATTCAAAAAAATATTGCCTACTTAGAAAAAAGTTTGATAAATTACAGTGGTTAAATTTCAGGTTACGGAAGAACAGAAACCCTCTTTCTAGTCAGCCAGGCTTTAGAAACCCAAGGATTTTCTTATTAGGGATAATATATCTGATAGATGAATAAGGATAATAATAATAACATCTGACACCTTTCTAAAGTGTTGCTGCTTTTTATACTGAACATTTGGAAAATCAGCAAAATAAGTCTCTTAAATATAGATCAACTTATTCTACTAAATTGAAAACAGCATTTTGCCTTTGCTCCCGTTTTTAAATTTATTTTACTTTTAAACCATATTGGACAGATGCATACATTTGCTAATTAGCATGTTGAGTTCGGTGTAGTGATTAAGTATAATAGCAAGGGACAATCCTATTTTCAGTTTGCATATGCTTACAATGTTAAATTTGAAAACATTCATTTAGTACAGCGTTTGTTGTTGTAACATGCCTTTTTTTAAAAGCCATTTCTATTATTAGTGTATAACAGTTTTCTAAAATGAAATAAATAATAGAAAAAGTGGGGGCTAAGTCAGCCTTACTATTATTGCCCAAAGAAGTGCAATTAACAGGCATGCAATCCCTAATTAAAATGTCTCGGTATAAAATATGTATTAATTAACACCCTTTATCTTAAAACACACCTTCTTCCTTCTCTTCTATATGCACAAATCATAATTGGCCTGTAAACCAGAATTGAAAATGCACGAACCATGAATTTTGATAAAAACTTCCAGTGTTAATTTATAGACAATTCGTGGTTAATTTCTCTAGTGATTGTTCTCCCACAGAAGACCAATAAACAAAGGGAGAAAACAAGGAGTATGTGTGCCTAGAACCTTCTTGTATAATATTCAATTCTCCAATAGCTAAAATGAGATATAATGTATTTATTTATGTATATTTCATGTTTCTAGACTATCCATCTCCCTCAAGGAAGGGCTCATGATGCCTGACACTTTATGAACAATGCTGTGTTTATAAACACTGTACAAATCTTCCTATGGCACTGCACAGAGGCATAATGCCCTTGGCATGCAACTTCTTTAAAGAAGGTTTGCAAACTCTGGCTGGTAAAAAATAGGAATTACACATTTATTTCATAAGACATCATGGTTA